GGGGGGGGGGGGGGGGGGGGGGGGGGGGGGGGTATATGGTATATACTCCGTTACATCCTATCTTGTCCTTTCCGTAAGCAGTTTAATTGTTAACAAGCTTTGATCAAACTTATATAGAGGTCATGCATGTGAATACTTGAAAAGAGTTTGTATTTCAGGAGCCAACTGTGAAAGTTTCATTACAGTTTATAGAAATTTGTCAAAAAGCAATTGAGCATGGGCATATGTTTTTATAACTTTTCTAGTTAAGTTTAAAATTGTGTTAATTTTTTCTCTTCAGAATAATTGCAGCCCTGTCTGTGGAAGAACGAAGACTATTTAAAGAAAGGTTTCGTTTCCTAGACAAGAAGATTCACTCTGGTCTAACCAAATCGACCTAGGCATCGAAGGGTATTTCAGACTTTTCCCTGACGGACTGTCGTATCAACGCCAGTCAGATACAGGTGGTTGTGGATGACTAAGAACACTAATATGGTCATTTCTAAGCAATGTGTTCAAATAAAGGATATGCATTTGATTAGCATAGACCCTCGTGAAGTCTACGATAATTTGGAATTTAATGAAGAACAGGTTAGGCGTGATTATTTATTTCTATTATGTTTTTATATTTTATGTGTTGGAAATTCTTAGTACAATGAACCTTTCAGATCCAGAGATTGAGACTTCACTCATATTTAAAATGTATCATTAAACCTGGAGCAAGTCATTGGGTGTAACCTAGTTACTTGACTTGTTTTTCCTTTACATTTCCTTGGTAATTAACTTTTTAAATGATCCAAAAATCATCTTATCAACATAATTGATGAATAACCAAATTTAGAGGGATGATTATGAAGTGTCAAATTCTTTTTTAATAAACATGTAAAAGTTTATAAGTTAATATTCACAGCAGTATATGTAGAAGGAAAAATGGTTTTCGAATGAGAGAACACATTTGAAATTTGAAAGTTATTATGTCCTCTTTATATTTTTCAGGCATATCATAGAGAATTGAAGGCTTTACACGAGGAGTTAGTCAGAACCATGAAATTGACGTGTGAAGTCTTCAAAAACGACGGCATTGAGGTATGTTTTATTATTTTTGCATTTTTATTAAAAATAAAAAATAAATTATGATGAGGTAATTTTGGATTTATGGCCATAAAATAGTTTTGCATGGAGATTCATTTTAATAGAAAATTAAATAGAACATTCAAATTGTGTTGAATTGCCCCCATTCAGACACACAAAATAATAAGTTTGTATCATTGATCACGAAAGGTCATGCTATGCTATAGGTAATATACCTCAGTCAAACGTGGACATTGTAATAATGTATCGTATATTTACAATTCCCTTGTACAGGGTATAAAAGCACCATATTAAATATTATTATTTGAATAATGTGTAACACCAACTAGTCCTCAATCACCACTCCTACTCCAGATAACAACTATAACTGGGCAGCACTAAAATGTCCATACACACCACCACTGTGTGCTTACCTAGTCATTGACAATCCAGAGCAGGAGCCATGTTGAAGGAGTATTCATATCGACATGTATACATACACATTCGGACTAGAATTAACAGTTATTTCAAAATCTGTAAGTAGACTAAATATATTTCTGAACACAGACACAAATAGCAGAATTGGGATCATGACTAAGATGGTTACTTCCCCTAGTTAGTATATTGGTATTATTTACTAAATGTTCAATCAGGTTTAAGTCGATATTTAAATGTAGGTTTAGTTTAATGTTAAGCTGAAAATGAGACAGAGAATCTCATAGGTTTTGTCTTCGGATTATATACCGAGGACAGTATAGAAAGAAGTGATCCACATCTTAGTCATGGTTGCCACATATACAGGATGGGCTATTAGTAAGGTGGTCTCTAAAAATGATCAGAATTTAATTGACTTGCATGGTTTCTTATTTGACATAAAATGATATTAAAAGATATAGTCCCTCCATATTTAAAAGCATTTGTACATGTATCCTCAGCATTAGGAAGAATGGCATGATGGACGAGTTGCTTTTTAAGTTCACTTACCGGCCTCAAATTATAATAATTACAATCGGATCTATTCCACCGATACATCATACTAGGAAAGAAACTGTTAAAATATATACTAGTTCTGCAAATGGGTGTTTGAAATATACGTTGATGTCGGATATCATGAGTCACTAAGTCATTGTTTATAATATAAGGTTCAATGTTTTCAAACAGATAATTCGGGCTATGACGGTTTGTTATTTTAAAAAATAGCATATGTTGCTGGTCATTTCTGCATTTTTAAATGTACCCCATCCTAGTTCATTATAAATGACACCATGACTAGTACTCCTACGTAGTCCAGTAACTATTCTAGCAGCATCTAGCTGGATGGATGCAAGAAGATCGGATTCTGTCTGATTACAATTATTCCACAAAACACTTGCATACTCAAGGTTTGGACGAATATTATTTCTAAAGATTCCCTGTCGAGCCTATATTTAAGTGATCTGAACAGATTATTTTTTTTATGTTTTTTCATAAATACAATTGATGTGGTCTGACCATGAACCATGACAATTAAGAAAAACTCCAAAACGTTTATGCTTTTTACGTTTGCCACAATGTTGTTTAATGAATATAACCTCAGGATGTAGTCCATCAGTATTATGTTTGCTTGAAATTAGTAGGGCTTCTGTTTTGTTGGGATTAAAAAGTATACCCCATCTATTTGCCCACATAGATATTCTATTAAGATCATTATTTAAAATTTCAGCAGCAGCTATTTTATCATTATCTATTCGCACATTAGGAGATCCTTGAAAAAGTACTCAAACAAATGACGTAAAAATCAAACCCTGGTCACAAGAGCAGATAACTCTGCAATACGAAAAGACGGAATAGCTGTTCTGGAAAGGTATTTTATACGTTTTTTACGAGAACCAGGGCAGTGGGAAGGTATTACAACAATGACTAAATTAACTTGCCATCTAAAAAATGTTGTTATGGAAGCGTAAGACAAAAAACTATTACATGTGAATGTGTCCAAGTCTCTCTATCATACTGTCGGAAATATATCAGTAATCAAACATGAAGTGTTACTAATTTGTGTCTTGAAATGGAAACCATAGGAAACACAAATTAATAACTCTTCAAAAATGTCTGTTCCACCATTTGATAAAACAGTTTGTTTAAGGTGTATCATGAAACAAAACTAACTGTTCCAAAAGATTAAATAGGATTTTTTTCTCATTCTATAAGGTTGGAAATGCATCTTTTTACATTTATGATGGTATGCAACACATTTCCTTTAAAATGTATCTCCTAAAAGGACTACCATGTATCATGTTTAGCTGACGGAATGAAAAAATATACACTAACGATATTATGCTACAGATACAACTCTGGCACAGATACACGGGGAAGATTGACAGGATGGTGGAGGAAGCCTTCCGACTCAACATCAAATGGTCTCCCCAGAAACTGTCCAAGGCCATCAACGGAGACGGGAAGTCCGCCCCTAACCCTGTGTTTAGGGTAAAAGTTTGTCTCCAAGGTGATAAGGTAGGAAATTACATATAATCAGTCTTATCAACAGTAAAACCTTGTTATATTGCCACCATTTGTCCGACCAGATTTTGGCATTATAAATATGCTTGGCGATATATAAAGTGAGATGCTTAGAGAAACTGTTAGAAAAAGATTATCTCGGAAATTGAAAGACTTTCTGAAATTTGACATGTTGATACACTGTGAAATATAAATGTTCAATACATATAGCTATAGGGGTTTGAAATTTGTCTTAGGTAAAGGTCAAGGTCACTCACTGAAAATAGACTTCTGGAGGGGGATATATTATGGTCCTAAATCAGAATCCAACAGTCTATTTTTTTAATTTAAAGGGACGATACACTGAGGTATGAAGATGTGCAATAGGGGTTTAACAGTTTTTATGGTCAATATCATAGCTACTGATGCTAAAACTAAACTTTTAGGAGGGGTCAGGCGCATAGCGAGACCCTTGCTAACCTGTCAGTATTTTAGTTTTACTAGTTTTAGATAGTTTGAATGATTTCGTTCCAAATCATTATGTAATGTACTTGATTTATATAGGTAGAATTCCAGCCAACACTTAAACAGCTGGCCAATGGGATAGGCAGTATTGGAGGTCAGCTGACCAAGGCTGTGTCCGGCATTGTCCGTCTTCCCAATATCCTCACCAGAAAACGCTCCACCAAAGATGTAAATACATGTGTACAAGATATACTCAAGCAGATATTGGTTTTAATTCATTGATTAGGTTTTCTCATGCAAATTTCCTGAACGAAGAACATATTCAAGGACAAGTTAAAGTGGTCTCTCCAGACAGGTGGTCTGTACAACAGGTTCACCCTCTCTAAACCAAATTCATAAAATCCTAAAATCATGAAAGGAAAGTGCTGAAGAAGAGGCCGTCTCTTGAAAAAGTTGTCATTCTAGACAGGTTTTGTTTTATACATCAACATAAGTTTGTTCACATACCTTTTTATTTGTGTAATCAAGAAACAAATCAAGAAAAAAATTGTAACCCCAGTTTTCAAAAAAGATATTTTCATATCTATTTTTTTCGATGAATATGACCCAAATTAGTGACATTTTGATGTAAATTGCAGCCAATCCATGATGTGATATCGAGGGACGAGGCGACAAAGAAGATCCAGACGGTTATAAACACAGAAATGCAGCCAAATGCCGACAATCTACAGAACTATCTGAGTACGTGGGACAACTACGGCGAGATTTGGGAGATAAACAAGGACATGTTTATCAAACGCTACCAGAAATTAACCCTCGGGTCTCTTCCTTTGATGCCGACATTGCCAGTTGAGACGGTTGTTTAATAATAATTGAAAGACTTAGATTCTTTCGTAATGACAATGTTAGGTGAAGTATAGTAGTTTTGAACAGGGAAATTGTACTGACCATTGGTCATTACAGTATTTTTTTCAAAACGTTATGGAATACTATTTAATTCTGCTGATCAACAGTACATAAAATTTGAGTTCACATTATTTCCTGTGTTTAAAGTTTAAAATACACAAGTAAACTGGTGTGTTAATATAAATATATTTGAAATATTGTATGCTTTGAAAAGAAAATCTGCTAAACAGAATGTATTTGTTGTTGTTGATAGTTTGATTACGAAACTGATCGATTAATCAGTTCCTTGTTTGGAAGATTTTTTGGTAAACTGGTTACGTAGGTTTCGTCGGTTTTGCCAACCCTAATTTATACAGATAAAAAAAAATGTTTGTACATTATTATTAATACAATGAGTAGACCTGTATAGTTCTATAGCACTACAGAAGAAAATTATAAAAGATAAATAATTTTCCCAGAGCTTTATCAGTTTTCTAGTAGTCTAGTGGTAGGACGCCGGTGCTCGTAACCCAAGGGTTGCGGGTTCGAGTCACGTCTGGGCACTGTATTGTATCTTTGAACAAAATACTTAACTCCGCTTGTTCCAGTCTACTCAGCTGTAAATGAGTCGTCTTTTCATTGAAAAATATTCAAACTTGGTGATAATCATCCTCGGAGAAGAGGGTATCAAACTGTAAAGTAGGGATTCCTGCCCCAACCCCAGGGGCCAGGGCGGAGCCCCAAAGGGAAAATCAACCAATCAAAAAAAAATACTTTTTTCAGACTCAGATGTACACAAATTTTATGCATGGATGGAAAGACCATCAGGGGATTTATCTAAATTGTAAATATCACTATCTCTTGGCCACCCATTTTTTTTCGGAGAGGGGGTAAAGTTCATTCTAGTTTATATAGGGAAATAACACTTTTGGGTAAATTTTGTCCATTTCCAGTAGAAAATATTCAAACATGGTTGGAATAATTGTGACGAGATGGCAATAAGATGATATGTAAATAAGATCTTCTTTTGCCTCAGAGGCTTGAGCCCATATGGGGGAAATACTTAAAAGTTAAAAAACCTTCTTCCTCAGACACAGATGTACTACAATCCAATACCCTTAATGTATATCGAAAGGTCCTTTATAACTTAATTGGAAAATTTAATAACCATGGGTCATCTGCTCTCCCTTTGGGAGAGGGTAAAATTTACCTGAAGTACTAGATATCGAGGTTGGTTGTTAATATGAATTACTAGATATCGAGGTGGGTTGTTTACCTGGAGTACTAGATATCGAGGTTGATTGTTTACCTGAAGTACTAGATATCGAGGTTGGTTGTTTATCTGATGTACTAGATGTCGAGGTGGGTTGTTTACATGAAGTACTAGATATCGAGGTTGGTTGTTTATCTGATGTGATAGATGTCCAGGTGGAATGTTTTCCTGAAGTACTAGAAATCGATGTTTGTTGTTTACCTGAAGTACTATATAACGAGGTTGGTTGTTTATCTGATGTTCTAGATGTCGAGGTGGGTTGTTTACCTGAAGTACTAGATATCGAGGTTGGTTGTTTATCTGAAGTGATAGATGTCGAGGTGGGTTGTTTACATGAAGTACTAGAGTTGTTTACCTGAAGTACTAGATATCGAGGTTGGTTGTTTACCTGAAGTACTTGAAATCGAGGTTGGTTGTTTACCTGAAGTACTATATAACGAGGTTGGTTGTTTATCTGATGTTCTAGATGTCGAGGTATGTTGTTTACCTGAAGTACTAGATATCGAGGTTGGTTGTTTACCTGAAGTACTAGATATCGAGGTTGGTTGTTTATCTAAAGTGATAGCTGTCGAGGAGGGTTGTGTACCTGTAGTACTAGATATCGAGGTGGGCTGTTTACCTAAAGTATTAGATATCGAGGTTGATTGTTTATCTGAAGTGCTAGATATCGAGGTTGATTGTTTATCTAAAGTACTAGATATCGAGGTTGATTATTTATCTGAAGTACTAGATGTCGAGGTGGATTGTGTACCTACAATACTAGATATCGAGGTTGGTTGTTAATTTGGAGTGATAGGTGTCGAAGCGGTTTGTTTATCTGAAGTACTAGATGTCGAGGTGGGTTGTTTATCTGAAGTACTAGATATTGAGATTGATTGTTTACCTGAAGTGATAGATGTCGAGGTGGGTTGTGTACCTGAAGTACTAGATATCGAGGTTGGTTGTTTACCTAAAGTACTAGATATCGAGGTTGGTTGTTTATCTAAAGTGATAGCTGTCGAGGTGGGTTGTGTACCTGAAGTTCTTAATATCGAGGTGGGTTGTTTACCTAAAGCATTAGATATCGAGGTTGATTGTTTATCTGAAGTGATAGATATCGAGGTTGATTGTTTATCTAAAGTACTAGATATCGAGGTGGGTTGTTTATCTGAAGTACTGGATGTCGAGGTGGATTGTGTACCTACATTACTAGATGTCGAGGTTGGTTGTGTACCTGAAGTACTAGATCTAAAGTACTAGATATCGAGGTGTGTTGTTTACCTAGTGATAGATGTCGAAGCGGGTTGTTTATCTGAAGTACTAGATATTGAGATTGATTGTGAACCTGAAGTGATAGATGTCGAAGTGGGTTGTGTACCTAAAGTACTAGATATCGAGGTTGGTTGTTTACCTAAAGTACTAGATATCGAGGTTTGTTGTTTACCTAAAGTAGTAGATATCGAGGTTGATTGTTTACCTGAAGTGCTAGATATCGAGGTTGATTGTTTATCTGAAGTGATAGATGTCGAAGCGGGTTGTTTATCTGAAGTACTAGATGTCGAAGTGGGTTGTTTATCTAAAGTACTAGATATCGAGGTTGATTGTTTACCTGAAATACTAGATATCGAGGTTGATTGTTAACCTGAAGTGGTAGATGTCGAGGTGGGTTGTTTACCTGAAATGAAGTGATAGGAGGTTGATTATAACGAGGTTGGTTGTTTACCTGAAGTGATATATATCGAGGTTGTTTGTTTATCTGAAGTGATCGATGTCGAAGCGGGTTGTTTATCTGCAGTACTAGATGTCGAGGTGGGTTTTGTACCTGAAGTACTAGATATCGAGGTGGGTTGTTTACCGAAAGTATTAGATTTCGAGGATGATTGTTTACCTGAAGTGATATATATCGAGGTTGATTGTTTATCTAAAGTACTAGATATCGAGGTTGATTATTTATCTGAAGTGATAGATGTCGAAGCGGGTTGTTTATCTGAAGTACTAGATGTCGAGGTTGGTTGTTTATCTGAAGTACTAGATATTGAGATTGATTGTGTACCTGAAGTGATAGATGTCGAAGTGGGTTGTGTTCCTAAAGTACTAGATATCGAGGTTGGTTGTTTACCTAAAGTACTAGATATCGAGGTTTGTTGTTTACCTTAAGTAGTAGATATCGGGGTTGATTGTTTACCTGAAGTGCTAGATATCGAGGTTGATTGTTTATCTGAAGTAATAGATGTCGAGGTGGATTGTGTACCAACAATACTAGATATCGAAGCGGGTTGTTTATCTGAAGTACTAGATGTCGAGGTGGGTTGTTTATCTAAAGTACTAGATATCGAGGTTGATTGTTTACCTGAAATACTAGATATCGAGGTTGATTGTTTACCTGAAGTGCTAGATGTCGAGGTGGGTTGTTTACCTGAAATACTAGATATCGAGGTTGGTTGTTTATCTGAAGTGATAGATATCGAGGTTGTTGTTTATCTGAAGTGATAAATCTCGAGGTTGGTTGTGTAACTGAAGTACTAGATATCGAGGTGGGTTGTTTACCGAAAGTATTAGATACCGAGGATGATTGTTTACCTGAAGTGATATATATCGAGGTTGATTGTTTATCTGAAGTACTAGATATCGAGGTTGATTGTGTATCTGAGGTACTAGATTTCGAGGTGGATTGTGTACCTACAATACTATATATTGAGGTTAGTTGTTTATCTGAAGTACTAGATGTCGAGGTGGATTGTGTACCTACAATATTAGATGTCGAGGTTGGTTGTTTATCTGAAGTGATATATGTCGAGGTGGGTTGTGTACCTGAAGTACTAGATATCGAGGTTGGTTGTTTACATGAAGTACTAGATATTGAGGTTGGTTGTTTATTTGAAGTGATAGATGTCGAAGCGAGTTGTTTTCTGAAGTACTAGATGTCGAGGTGAGTTGTTTATCTGAAGTACTAGATACCGAGATTGATTGTATACCTGAAGTGATAGATGTCGAAGTGGGTTGTGTACCTGAAGTACTAGATATCGAGGTTGGTTGTTTATCTGAAGTACTAGATATCGAGGTTGATTGTTTACCTGAAGTGCTAGAAATCGAGGTTGATTGTTTATCTAAAGTACTAGATGTCGAGGTAGATTGTGTAGCAACAATACTAGATAACGAGGTTGGTTGTTTATCAGAAGTACTAGATATCGAGGTTGATTGTTTATCTGAAGTACTAGATGTCGAGGTCGATTGTGTAGCAACAATACTAGATATCGAGGTTGGCTGTGTATCTGAAGTGATAGATGTCGAGGTGGATTGTGTACCTACAAAACTAGATATCGAGGTTGATTGTTTATCTGAAGTACTAGATGTCGAGGTGGATTGTGTAGCAACAATACTAGATATCGAGGTTGGTTGTTTATCTGAAGTGATATATGTCGAATCGGATTGTTTATCTGAAGTACTAGATATCGAAGTTGATTGCTTATCTGAAGTGCTAGATATCGAGGTTGATTGTTTATCTGAAGTAATAGATGTCGAGGTGGATTGTTTATCTGAAGTACTAGATATCGAAGTTGATTGTTTATCTTTAGTGCTACATTTCGAGGTGGGTTGGTTATCTGAAGTACTAGATATCGAGGTTGATTATTTATCTGAAGTGATAGATGTCGAAGCGGGTTGTTTATCTGAAGTACTGGATGTCGAGGTGGATTGTATACCTACAATACTGTATATCGAGGTTGGTTGTTTACCTGAGGTACTAGATATCGAGGTGGGTTGCTTACCTGAAGTGCTAGATATCGAGCTTGGTTGTTTATCTGAAGTGATAGATGTCGAGGTGGGTTGTGAACCTGAAGTACAAGATATCGAGGTTGGTTGTTTACCTGAAGTACTAGATATCGAGGTGGGTTGTTTACCTGAAGTGCTAGATATCGAGCTTGGTTGTTAATCTGAAGTGATAGATGTCGAGGTGGGTTGTGAACCTGAAGTACTAGAT